GCCAATTACGCACGGCTGAAATGCGATCTCCCTCCATCTCCACACCTGAGGTGGTAATGCGGTATCTGAGGAAGGAGACGGACTGTTGGAAAAACAGACTTTTCTGCCTTGGCATAAAGGTCATTTTCCAACAGTTGGGCCAGCACTTTGCGAACCAGGGACACATGCTCGGCGCACGTAGAGGAATACACCAGAACGTCATCGATGTAGACCACTACACCGCGACCAAGCATGTCCCGAAACACCTCGTTCACAAAGGACTGGAAGACGGATGGAGCATTCATCAAACCGTAAGGCATCACCAGGTATTCATAATACCCCGTGATTGTGCTGAATGCTTTCTTCCACTCATCCCCCTCTTGGACACGCACCAGGTTGTACGCACTCCAGAGATCACATTTTGTGAAGAAGCGCGCCCCATGCATTGACTCGATCACCGAAGGAAAGAGGGGGAGAGGATAACTAAATCGTATCGTCTCCTTGTTCAGTGATCGGTAATCAATGCAAGGGCGCAGACCGCCATCTTTCTTCACAAAAAATAAACTTGAGGAGGCGGGCGAAGTGGAGGGACGTATAAGCCCCTGGCGCAGGGACTCGGTGACGTATGTCTCCATGGCCTCCGTTTCAGCCTGTGACAGGGGATACACATGACTCCTGGGAGGCACAGCGTCTACCCAGAGGTTTATCGCGCAATCCCCCGCCCGATGAGGTGGCAACTTGGTAGCCTGCGTTTTGGAAAACGCTTGCACCAAATCGAGGTATTCGGGGGGAATGCGCACAGTGGAGGGACTGTCTGGACTTTCCACCGTGGTTGCACCAAGGAAACACTGAGACACCTACCCTGACACTATCGCGACCACCCCGTGAGAACCCTTTGCGGTCATGAAAAGGTGGGGTTGTGGAGTGCTAACCAAGGAATACCTAATACAACAGGGAAATCAGAAGACTCAATAATAAAAAAAGTGACTTGCTCGTGGGTCTCGTGGGTAACCATAGTGACTGGTGCTGTCACCTCCCTAACAAACCTGGACCCTAATGATCGACTGTCAAGTGCTCTGATGGGGAGTGGAATGGATAGGGGAACCAATTAAATGCCTAGACTGTGTGAAAATGACCTGTCCATAAAGTTCCCAGCTGCGCCTGAATCGATCAGCACCTTACACTGGGGAACTACAATGTAATCAGGAAAGTGGATGGGTAGGGTACAGTGCGCAGCAGAGGGCTCTGAACGAGTGTGGGTGTTCGATACCTGGGGTGACGTGAGAGTGCCCTGCCTGCCACCTCCAGACCCAAAAGAACGCTGATGACATTGTGCAGTGAAATGTCCTCTCGTGCCACCAGAGTGACACTGGCGCTGTCGTCCTCCGCTCTCCCGGATCGCTGCTCCACCCAGCTCCATCAGCTCGTTATCCGAGTCGGGCCGGGTTGGAACGGGCAGCCCCCCTCCAGGACGTCCTCTGGCCACCAGCAGGTTGTCCAAGCGGATGGCCATGTCCACCAGTTGCGTGAAGGACAACATGGTGTCCCGGCAGGCAAACTCCCTTCGGACGTCCTCCCGCAGATGGCACCCGAAGTGGTCGATGAGGGCCCACTCGTTCCACCCGGACCCAGCTGCTAGAGTCCAGAACTCCAGGGCAAAGTCCTGCGCGGTCCTCGTCTCCTGCCTCAGGTGGACCCAGCCGCTCGCCCGCCTCTCGACCCTCGGGTGGGTGATCGAAGACAGCCCGAAAGAGGTGAGCGAACTCCCCGTAGTTGTCCAACGCGGCTCCTCCTTCATTCCAGACCGCGTTGGCCCACTCCAGGGCTTTCCCCGAGAGGCAGGAGACGAGGGCGGACAACTTCTCCCGCTCCGATGGGGCCGGCCTGATGCTGGAATAGTAGAGCTCCAGTTGGAGGAGGAATCCCTGGCAGAGGGCAGCTGTCCCGTCGAAATCCCGTGGTCGGGATATATGGATCCCTCTTGGTGCTGGGGTGTGGGTGGCTGGATCCGTTCGCCCAGCTGGTCCCGACAGATTGGGTCCTCTCCTCACCAGGCATTGGACGACCTGGAGAACCCGATCCATCGGTTCTCCCAAGCTGGCTAGCATCGTCGAATGCTCCTGGACCCGTGCCACGACTCCAGGCATGCGCTCCTCTCCCGCTGACTCCATAGCGGGTGGGTGATTCTGTGATGGATGATTTGAAGGAGTCAGGCGCAGGAGGTTAAATCACAGAATACAGAGTTTATTCCAGAATACAGAGTTACGCAGAATTGGGTCAAACAGTCCAGTGCGCAAAACAGGTGCACTGGAACCAAACAGGCACACAGGGAAAATATACCCCGGCAATACAAAATACATGGAGCTCAACCGAGCTACACTCTCCTCACACTAAACAATCACCCACCAGGACAAGGGGGCAGAGGGAACACTTATACACATACTAATGAGGGGATATGAACCAGGTGTGTGGAATAGACAAGACAAAACAAATGGAATGATGAGATGAGGAGCGGCAGTGGCTAGAAGGCCGGTGACGACGAACGCCGAAGCCTGCCCGAACCAGGAGAGAGGAAGTCGTGACATGAAGAATCTTTCAAAGTTGTTGAAATGTTCTGTATTGACTGACCTTCATGTCTTAAAGTAATGATGGACTGTCATTTCTCTTTGCTTATTTGAGCTGTTCTTGCCATAATATGGACTTGGTCTTTTACCAAATAGGGCTATCTTCTGTATACCCCCCTATCTTGTCACATCACAACTGATTGGCTCAACGACATTAAGAAGGAAAGAAATTCCACACATTAACTTTTAAGAAGGCACACCTGTTCATTGAAATGCATTCCAGGTGACTACCTCATGAAGCTGGTTGAGAGAATGCCAAGAGTGTGCAAAGCTGTCATCAAGGCAAAGTGTGGCTATTTGAAGAATCTCAAAGATAAAATATATTTTGATTTGTTTAACACTTTTTTTGTGACTACATGATTCCATATGTGTTATTTAATAGTTCTAATGTCTTCACTATTATTCTACAATGTATAAAATAGCACAAATAAAGAAAATCCCTTGAATGAGTAGGTGTGTCCAAACTTTTGACTGGTAGTGTATATATTTTATTTTATTTTTTATGTTCTCTCTAAATAAGCTTTGTTGCACAATTTAAAAGTCAATACTCTGCATTTCACAGTCAGGAATAATGTAATGAATTCAGGGCTTGTAAAATTATACCTAGGCTAAATTTAAGCCTTCCACAACCATAAGACCCACTAATTATTTAATTATTTTGCCAAAATAGTCTAACCTGCGTTTTTGCAATAATCGCTGATCTGGCTTTCATGTCTGTCGATGAAAATGCCCTTTTTGTTACAATTTTACCCAGAACCATGCATAATGCACATTCACTAATAATGACCAACTTCTTGTAGCAGGCATTATAGAAAATGAACACAGGTTTCATAAACACTCTCTGAAGCACAAGCCCACATGCTAGTGAGTAGCCAGCTAATCTTTATATTTCAAGTCTAGCCAACTTGGATCTATTTGCTTGCTAACAAGGTAGAACAGTTGAACTGTTATGAACACGCCCTCCTGTCTGTCTCCGACTTTGAACAACAGCCTGTTCACTTTGTTTAGATGTTGAAATCAAGTGGCCTACCTAGATAACAAGATGCTTAATTCTTAGAATGAGAACGAGTTGTCAATTCCTTATATAAATGCTTCTTTTTATGCTTATTGCACATTTATAAAACACAGACTAGACAGCTAGCACACAACGGTATGTGGCTGACCTCGACAGAAACGGAGCATTACTTTTCCACAATCATGTTCATTGATAATCCTGTTTTAGTAGGGCCTGCTCTGTTCAACATTTTGGGAGTTGAGACATAAAAAGGGTACCGTTAGAAGGGGAATCGACCGATTCTGTAAGTGGGAAAGTGCACAGTGCACAGAAGGAGGGGCTTGGTGTCTGTGTGTAAGTGGGAACGTGCACAGAAGGAGGAGGGGCTTGGTGTCTGTGTGTAAGTGGGAACGTGCACAGAAGGAGGAGGGGCTTGGTGTCTGTGTGTAAGTGGGAACGTGCACAGAAGGCGGAGGGGCTTGGTGTCTGTGTGTAAGTGGGAACGTGCACAGTGCACAGAAGGAGCGAAGGAGACGAGACCAAAAAGACAAAAGCGCTCATAAAAACAAAAAAATAAAAACCTTGATTCTTGCGATAGAGGCATTTTTGGAACATCGCGCTAAAACAACCATTGGAATTAATCATATCAATTCTACATATCGTCCAGCCCTACTACAAACCTCTGTTATGACTCTATTAGGACAGGGAACTCATGGTGACACAGTCAGAGTGAGGTGCTTACATTTGGTATAGGAATATAGGAATCCATACAGGCATACACAACTATATCCATACAGGCATACACAACTATATCCATACAGGCATACACAACTATATCCATACAGGCATACACAACTATATCCATACAGGCATACACAACTATATCCATACAGGCATACACAACTATATCCATACAGGCATACACAACTATATCCATACAGGCATACACAACTATATCCATACAGGGATACACAACTATATCCATACAGGGATACACAACTATATCCATACAGGGATACACAACTATATCCATACAGGCATACACAACTATATCCATACAGGCATACACAACTATATCCATACAGGCATACACAACTATATCCATACAGGCATACACAACTATATCCATACAGGCATACACAACTATATCCATACAGGCATACACAACTATATCCATACAGGGATACACAACTATATCCATACAGGGATACACAACTATATCCATACAGGGATACACAACTATATCCATACAGGCATACACAACTATATCCATACAGGCATACACAACTATATCCATACAGGGATACACAACTATATCCATACAGGGATACACAACTATATACACTTCACTTTTTGGGGAGTGCATGAACAATCTCTCCCTCTCCCCCTCCCTCTCTCTCCAGAGGATGGACTTCAAGCTGAGCCACATGCAGAAGACGGTGAGTGAGGGTCAGAGCCCCATGCCTCTCTTCACCTGTCTGCACGTCAAGCCAGACGTCTCAGAACTCATGTTCGCCGGTAAGACCCATTTTTATGATCCACGTGTTACTATGGGTTATTTTCGAACGCATCCATCATACAACTAGGATAGAACAGACGTAAGAATGTTCAAGTTAGGCATCTTTTTCAAGTACACTTCTTAAAGTGGTCTAACACCTAGATGAGTCCACCTCACACATTTTCGGTTGAGCAGATCCAGCTACAGGACTCATTACATGTCTGCTTGAAATGAAGGGAAAGATAGGCAGCCAACATTGAAGCAGTATGCATCTTTGGAGCGGTAGACTGCATGGCCTTCCCATTATGGCACCGTATGTCAATGTGAACAGACACTGTTTATGTCTACATTTGTTTAATTTAGTTTACGTTCCTGGAAAATATGCAAATGACTCAGTGAAACAGTACTATCTGACTTTGTCACAGCTCGTTATCTGATGGGCTACCATCTAGATCAGTTTTTCCCAACTCTGGTCCTCCAGTACCCCCAACAGTATACATGTTTATTGTAACCCTGGACAAGCACACCTGATTCAACTGTTTGTCAAGGGCTATAACACAAATGTGTACTGTTGGGGGTACTGGAGGACCAGGGTTGGGAATCACTGACCTAGGGATGTAGCTAGCTAACTCTAACAAAAACTGTGTGGACCATGCACTGTTGTGTATCATTAGCCACCCAATATTGGAATCATGGCATCAAGCAAATTAGCTGTGACTTAGAAATCTTTTCATGAATGAAAGTACAAACAAATGAACGAATGAATGAACCAAGTTAATTTCTGAATGACTGCAGGCATGCATGTAATTATTGTCATCTTTGCGTTTGAGTCTATGCTCCATTTGAATACAGGGTATGGTAGTGTTTACCCAGGGCTAATGTCACATGTCCTAATGTGTGTGTGGCTGTGCGCGCATGCACGTGGGTGTGTGTGTACTGTGTGTGCGTACGCGCCTGTGGGTGTGTACACTTTGTGCGCGTTTGTGTGCGGGTGTGGAACATGCTCATTCATTGCACATTCCCATCGGTGTCAGTTTCACTAATACAGATACTCACACTGATCCATCTCCGTCTGACTCTGTCATCATGGGAAACTGAAATAGACATACAGCAGTGTGACATTAGTTCTAAAAATGGAGTGGACACACCTTAAAGATTCAATGGTTCACAGACACTTAGTTACAGGATGTAGACATGAAAATGGTAAGAATGCCCTGAAGTATTATGACTGGGAGTTGCAGCCAAAATGTCATATCACAATATTTTTTTCAATTTTGACAATATGCCGGCATTTGCCGGTTTCTAAATCAAGTTTCTAAATATGTTTCATGAGTAGTGCATGACCCTAGAGTGGAAACAAATCAATTCTATGATGGTTTTATTCTCAACTAAATTTGGACATAACTGACAGTGAAGTAGTCCAATCTATTTAGTACTGTATAAAAAAACCTTTATAGACGGTATTGTAAAAAAAATACAAAAATAACGGTATGTGGGTCCATTCCGGTATACTGATATTCATGATATATCGCCCAGCCTTACTGGGAATCAATTCATCAAAGTTCTTGTAAGGTTAACCATCGATGGGAACGCTTCAACGTTCGGGTATTAGTTATGATATTATAATAAATTGCTTTGCATTGCAAGCAAGGGCCCTAATGTGATATGATTATAATAACCTTGTATTGGGGTAACCCAGCTAGTTTCCACCATTGAAAGGCTTCCGTGAGCTTGATACACAGTAGTAGCCATTTGAGCTAAAACACTGTCCCACCAGTAATTGGAGTGAAGCTGATTATACAGCTGTCAGTCTGGTTTCACAAGGCTAATTCTACAGTACAAGAACACTTATCGTCTGTATCATTATTACTAATAGATGTGTCATTTCTCTCCTATTGTGTGTTTTGACGAGCAGACTGGGTGGAGTTTACACCGTATGAGATTGGCATGGCCAAGTATGGCACCTTCATGTCCCCGGGCCTGTTTGGCAGTAAGTTCTTCATGGGCAGTGTGGTGAGACAGTACGAGGAGAACCCCCTGCATTTCCTCATGGGTAAGACAGGCTGCACATTCAGTACAGATGTAGGATCTTAATTTGAGCTTGTTTGCTACAGCAGGAAAATAATCCTGCAGCAATAGGAAATGTGATTTATTATGCGGATGATAATTAATGGACATTTTTGTAGGGGTTGATACATTTTTCATAAGGAAATATCAAGTGGAAATTATAAACTTTAGAAGCCTTTTTAAACCTCAAATACACTAAATGTTACATTTCCTGCAACAGGGTGATCAAATTAAGACACTACACACAGTACGATATGCACCTGAGCTTTCATACAGGCATACACACATGAGCACACACTCACAAACATAGACTAGATACGCATTTGACTAGATACACAAAGTTGTCTACTGTATCTCTTCTAGGGGTGTGGGGCAGTGCTTTCTCCATCCTCTTCAACCGGGTCATGGGGGTCAAAGGGACCACTGGAGGTAGCACCATGGAAGAGGAGCTTGGTAAGATACTAACAAACCATCGTACAAAACCTACCTTTGTCTCTCTGTCTCTTTAAATGCATGCTCTGTGCGTGCATACGCATCAGGGTTTCTGTTAGGAAAATGTGGAGCAGGACATTTGACCGGCAGCATTTTAATTTACCATACATTTGAGAAATGTACCATACCCATATCCATTGGGTGCGTAACCTGATTAGGGTGTCTACCCACGGTGCTCAGAATGACAGAAATCACATCACATTTTGATTATGGTAATTTATCTTAACAGAACATGCAAATCGAGGATGCAACAGTGTGGGTCCTTACCAAATTCCGATGCGCACATTGAAGATGTTAGAATAACTGCCACATATACTTTTCCTCAACCAACAAGATGAGTAACAAACAGCAAAATCACTAGCCTATGTCAATCTACTGTCTCCCATAGTAGAAAAGTTTACCTATTCTATTGGTCAGCTTGTCGTTCTGTGCGAAAAAGAAATCAATAAATCAATCAAATTTTTATTTATAAAGCCTTTTTTACATCAGCAGATGTCACAAAGTGCTATACAGAAACCCAGCCTAAAACCCCAAACAGCAAGCATGGCCAATTCCAAACAGACTCTGGGACAGTTGTTGGACGATAGATCCCAAATTCATACAACCAGTAGGCCTCAGGTGTCAAATTCATTCCACGGAGGGCCGAGTGTCTGTGGGTCTTCGCTCCTCCCTTGTACTTGATTGATTAATTAAAGGTCACTAATTACTAAGGAACTCCCCTCACCTGGTTGTCTAAGTCTTAATTGAAAGGAAAAACCAAAAACCCGCAGACACTAGGCCCTCCATGGATTGAGTTTGACACGCCTGCAGTAGGCCTAGGCTACATTTAAAAAAAAAACAATGAGGCTGATGCAACAGATCAGAACGTTTAGCTTAAAATGTTGATGAACTATTATTTCTTCACATTATAAGCACAGCAATGTGCACAAGGGATTAGGTTACATGTGAATGTTGGTTCCATAATGCAGTTAGCAGGAAAACACTGTTGTCAAAAGCTCACTGCACATGCGAGCGGTTTCATCTGACCGAGATGAAAATATCTGTTAGAAATTAGAAAGAGGGGAGATCTAGCATGGGTTGCTAATATGACTAGGGTTGTGCCTTTGGCTACTGGACAATGAAAGAAAGTTGATTTGAAAACCAATAGAACATGAGAGAAATAGGCTACTGGTTTCAATGGCATATGGAAGTCTTTATAAAATAATTTCCTCCATGTTTCTATGGTCGGATTTTACTTTGAAGCAAGGTAAGACATGCCTCATGTAGTAAAACGTTCAGGTTTCAAACAATTAAGTATAGCCTATGTTTTCAAAATGCATACTGCCTCCAGCTCATTGCAAAGTGGTGTGTTACATGCTGAAGCCTGCCTACCGTTGCCTACAGTGAGGCAAAAAAGTATTTGATCCCCTGCTGATTTTGTACGTTTGCCCACTGACAAAGACATGATCAGTCCATAATTTTAATGGTAGGTTTATTTGAACAGTGAGAGACAGAATAACAACAAAAAAATCCAGAAAAACGCATGTAAAAAATTTTATGAATTGATTTGCATTTTAATGAGGGAAATAAGTATTTGACCCCTCTGCAAAACATGACTTAGTACTTGGTGGCAAAACCCTTGTTGGAAATCACAGAGGTCAGACATTTCTTGTAGTTGGCCACCAGGTTTGCACACATCTCAGGAGGGATTTTGTTCCACTCCTCTTTGCAGATCTTCTCCAAGTCATTAAGGTTTCGAGGCTGACGTTTGGCAACTCGAACCTTTAGCTCTCTCCACAGATTTTCTATGGGATTAAGGTCTGGAGACTGGCTAGGCCACTCCAGGACCTTAATGTGCTTCTTCTTGAGCCACTCCTTTGTTGTCTTGGCCGTGTGTTTTGGGTCATTGTCATGCTGGAATACCCATCCACGACCCATTTTCAATTCCCTGGCTGAGGGAAGGAGGTTCTCAACCAAGATTTTACGGTACATGGCCTCGTCCATCGTCCATTTGATGCGGGGAAGTTGTCCTGTCCCCTTAGCAGAAAAACACCCCCAAAGCATAATGTTTCCACCTCCATGTTTGACGGTGGGGATGGTGTTCTTGGGGTCATAGGCAGCATTCCTCCTCCTCCAAACACGGCAAGTTGAGTTAATGCGAAAGAGCTCGATTTTGGTTTCATCTGACCACAACACTTTCACCCAGTTTTCCTCTGAATCATTCAGATGTTCATTGGCAAACTTCAGACGGCCCTGTATATGTGCTTTCTTGAGCAGGGGGACCTTGCGGGCGCTGCAGGATTTCAGTCCTTCACGGCATAGTGTGTTACCAATTGTTTTCTTGGTGACTATGGTCCCAGCTGCCTTGAGATCATTGGCAAGATCCTCCTGTGTAGTTCTGGGCTGATTCCTCACCGTTCTCATGATCATTGCAACTCCACGAGGTGAGATCTTGCATGGAGCCCCAGGCCGAGGGAGATTGACAGCTCTTTTGTGTTTCTTCCATTTGCGAATAATCGCACCAACTGTTGTCACCTTCTCACCAAGCTGCTTGGCGATGGTCTTGTAGCCCATTCCAGCCTTGTATAGGTCTACAATCTTGTCCCTGACATCCTTGGAGAGCTCTTTGGTCTTGGCCATGGTGGAGAGTTTGGAATCTGATTGATTGATTGCTTCTGTGGACAGGTGTCTTTTATACAGGTAACAAACTGAGATTAGGAGCACTCCCTTTAAGAGTGTGCTCCTAATCTCAGCTCGTTACCTGTATAAAAGACACCTGGGAGCCAGAAATCTTTCTGATTGAGAGGGGGTCAAATACTTACTTCCCTCATTAAAATGCAAATCAATTTATAACATTTTTGACATGTGTTTTTCTGGATGTTTTTGTTGTTATTCTGTCTCACACTGTTAAAATAAACCTACCTATGGACTGATCATTTCTTTGTCAGTGGGCAAACGTACAAAATCAGCAGGGGATCAAATACTTTTTTCCCTCACTGTATATACACTTGAATGGCAAATGCGCTTCAATTACCAATTTAATAGGCTATAAAGCATTATTTTGCAATAGGATTTTTGTCTTCTCCTGGACAATTGGCTGGCGCCAGTTCTATTTATCAGCTTTTTATTTATTTATTGTCCAAAAGCCGACTTTTACAGGATAATAGAAACCCCGGTGTGTGTGTGTGTGTGCGTTTCTTCCAGACCTAATGTGAAAGCAACTCTAATGGCACTTTAATATCTTGCTGAGGTTAGTAAGCACATTCACTGAGAACTCCATGGTAGTTCATAGTCACACCAATATACAGAAAAGTTAGAAACTGACTGGATGTGGTAGTCTAGTCAGCAAGCTCATACTGTGGATAGTGAGTTAGTTCAAATTTTATTGTCACATGCACAAGTACAGTGAACATATTAAGTTAGAGACAGTGTGTGGGTTTGGTTTTCACATGAATGTTGTTGTGTCACTGTTTTTCAGAGCAAATAAAGCCTCAGCACATTGTGGGTGAGGAGACGCAGGAAAATGAGGACGAGCCAAGAAAAGGTAAAATAATTGTGTGCATGCATGTTTACGGTCTACGAGATAGAAAGGTGTGGGGTGTGTGTTGGGTGTCTTGGGGCTTTGGTAGCAACATCCTTTCCCCATTTCACCCCCTCTCCTCATCCCCCTCTCCTCCATCCTCCCCTCCAGCGGGTGGAACAGAGAACCAGGAGGCAGAGGAAGAGCTCCAGCGTAGTGCCCAGGCCAGCTGGACTAGCAGGATGTTCACCTCCCTGGTGGGGGAGTCTACTCTCTTCAACTCCCGTGAGGGCAGAGCGGGCAAGGTGCACAACTTCATGCTGGGGCTCAACCTCAACTCCTCCATGCCTTTCTCCCCCTTCAACAACGGATCATACACACACCACAACCTGGAGGAGGAACAGGACGCCGTCACAGGTCTGAGATCAGTTTAAAGGGGGTCCGAGTGGGTGGGGGCGGCGGGTTAACAGCCGAATGTCTGTAATAAGTCTATCACCATGATTGTCTAAGATTGGAAATCTGTTAGACTGTTCAGACCCATTAACCCATCTCTATGTGGATGGGTAAAGCAATACATCAACTATCAAATCAAGGCTTTGAATTACTATTATAGACTATTTGTGAGAATGGTTGATTGATTTGATAGATGATGACATGTTTTGCTTTATTGTCTCCTTCCCGCGGTCTCCCTCAGACCCAAATGAGTTTGACCGCATCTACGAGCCGCTGGACGTAAAGAGTAAGAAGATCCACATAGTGGACAGTGGTCTGACCTATAACCTCCCGTACCCCCTCATCCTGCGGCCGCAGCGTGGCGTCGACCTCATCATCTCCTTCGACTTCTCAGCCCGCCCCAGTGACTCCAGCCCACCCTTTAAGGTGAGCAATGCACACACATTCAGACACACACACACACACACCCACACACACACACACACTGTATATACAAACATACTGCACACACACACACATTTAAAATACTTTATTCGAATCCACAAATCACATTACAGTCAAACATTTCATAGGTCATGGATATAGGGACACTTATGGATACAGAAAGCACCTTCTTCTCCACGCAGCAGGGCTGCCGATGACCGCTGACACGGAGCAGTACCTCGCTATCTGCTTTGACTTTGTCCTATGCAGGCCTGCAATCTGAAGGCCACGTACTGTCAGCCTATGTACAGTGCATTTGGAAAGTATTCAGACACCTTCCCCTTTTCCACATTTTGTTACGTTACAGCCTTATTCTAAAATGGATTAAAAAAATTAAAACATCTCATCAATCTACACACAATACCCCATAATGACAAAGTGAAAACAGGTTTTTAAAAACATAAATACCTTATTTACATAAGTATTCAGACCCTTTGCTATGAGACTCGAAATTGAGCTCAGGTGCTTCCTGTTTCCATTGATCATCTTTGAGATGTTTCTACAACTTGATTGGAGTCCACCTGTGGTAAATTCAATTGATTGGACATGATTTGGAAAGGCACACACCTGCCTATATAAGGTCCCAGAGTTGACAGTGCATGTCAGAGCAAAAACCAAGCCATGAGGTCGAAGGATTTGTCTGTAGTGCTCCGAGACAGGATTGTGTCGAGGCACAGATCTGGAGAAGGGTGCCAAAAAATGTCAGCAGCATTGAAGGTCCCCAAGAACACAGTGCCCTCCATCATTCTTAAATTTAAGAAGTTTGGAACCACCAAGACTCTTCCTGGCCACCCGGCCAAACTGAGCAATCGGGGGGGAAGGGCCTTGGTCGGAGAGGTGACCAAGAACCCGATGGTAACTCTGACAGAGCTCTAGAGTTCCTCTGTGTGGAGATGGGAGAACCTTCCAGAAGGACAACCATCTCTGCAGCACTCCACCAAATCAGGACTTTATGGTAGAGTGGAAGCCACTCCTCAGTAAAAGGCAAATGACAGTTTGCCAAAAGGCACCTAAAGGACTCTCAGACCATGAGAAACAAGATTCTCGGGTCTGATGAAACCAAGATTGAACTCTTTGGCCTGAATGCCAAGCTTCACGTCTGGAGGAAACCTGGCACCATCCCTACGGTGAAGCATGGTGGTGGAAGCATCATGCTGTGGCGATGTTTTTCAGCGGCAGGGACTGGGAGACTAGTCAGAATCGATGGAAAGATGAACCGAGCAAAGTACAGAGCGATCCTTGATGAAGCCTTGATCCTTGATGAAGCGCTCAGGACCTCAGACTGGGGCGAAGATTCACCTTCCAACAGGACAACGACCTGACAACGCAGGAGTGGCTTCGGGACAAGTCTCTGAATGTCCTTGAGTGGCACAGCCAGATCCCGGACTTAAACCTAATCGAACATCTCTGGAGAGACCTGAAAATAGCTGTGCAGCAACGCTCCCCATCCAACCTGACAGAGCTTGAGAGGATCTGCAGAGAAGAATGGGAGAAACTCTCCAAATACAGGTGTGCCAAGCTTGTAGCGTCATACCCAAGAAGACTCGAGACTGTAATCGCTGCCAAAGGTGCTTCAACAAAGTACTGAGTAAAGGGTCTGAATACTTAGGTAAATGTGATATTTCAGTTTGTATTTCTAATATATTTGCCCAAAATCCTAAAAACGTGTTTTTGCTTTGTCATTATTGTGTATTGTGTGTAGATTGATGAGGGGAAAAAACAATTTAATCAATTTTAGAATAAGGCTGTAACGTAACAAAATGTGGAAAAAGTCAAAGGGTCTGAATACTTTCCAAATGCACTGTACATGGCAGAGACTGTCAAATATCCACACTTCAAGTTTGCATTGATAACCGAGGCTGTTTAGGTGCTGGTATTTCAGCAACTTGCCAGCAAAGGCCTGCTCCATGTAGAGTCAAAAGAACAACCCACTTCCAAAATGAGCACCTCCCTCCGGCCTCCCCCCACAACAATATCTGACTTATTTGGTATATAAGAAAACACATAATCAACATCAAACCAGCCTCCTCTGACAAGAGAATGCTTGTGAAAAGCACTGATGGTGTTACTGTCTCTCACCTCACTAGCTATCAGGTCGACGAGGCGATCATATCTAGCTATGTATAAGTCCTTGTATAAACAGTAGCCATTAACAACATGTGAAACTCCATTGCATTTGACTCATGTTATACAACGTGATACACAATGGATTGGATATACAAGCCAATTTTAGCTCTCTGCACAACAATATATTTAGACCAATATTTACTCTGTTTTACAAAAACATTTGAGAATGTAGTAAATCTATATGACATACCATTTTTTACAACTGTCCGTTTATTGACTGTTTGTTCTTCAATCTACTGTTCTGTGTGTGTCAGGAGCTCCTGCTAGCTGAGAAATGGGCTCGCATGAACAAGCTGCCCTTCCCAAAGATCGACCCCAAAGTGTTTGACCGTGAGGGCCTCAAGGAGTGTTATGTCTTCAAACCCCGCAAGGAAGACAGGTGCTGCCCCACCGTCATCCATTTTGTACTGGCCAACATCAACTTCAGGGAATTCAAAGCTCCCGGTGAGGACTGGTGAAACTGGGATACTACTGTATGGCTGTAGGATCAGGGAAAACTCTAGGGTGCATCTGAAATGGCATCCTATTCCCAATATAGTACACTACTTTTGAACAGAGCCATATGGCCAAAAGTAGCGCACTATATAGGGAAATGGGTGCCATTTTGGACGTACCCTAGGCCTTAGTTTTAGGCCCATAAACTAGAAGGTGTAATACTGTGTTACAGGCTATAACTTTGGCACAGAGTTTTTCCTGGTGAGTTTAGATGGTTGTGAAAAATTGAAGGTCCTAGCTATGATCTATAGGCCGGGTTGCCTGAAGACGTCCCAAAAACAATGTGTGGAGGCAGAAGGCCGTGTGTTGTTATGATTCTAGACTGTCAGATAACTAGCAACAATGACAAGAAACTGCCATTCGGGGAAATCGTAGGCTGCTCGTTTCAGCTAGTTGTCTCTTGTTATTGATGCATGTGACAAATTATATTTGTCACATGCAACGGGTGTAGACTTTAACGTGAAATGCTTGCTTACGAGCCGTTCCCAACAATGCAGAGTTAAACAAATAATTATAAATAGAAAAATAGTAACACAAGGAATAAAATACACAATAATTAAGCTATATAATGGGAGTACCAGTACCAGATCAATGTGCAGGGGTATGAGTTATTTGAGGTAGATGTGTACATAAAGGCAGGGTAAAGTGACTAGACATCAGGATAGATAATAATATGAGTAAAATAAAGAACAGAGTAGCAGCAGCATATGATGTGTGTGTTATGTGTGTGCATGTGTGTGTGTTTGTGTTGTCGGTGTGTGTGTGGTGTGTGCGTATATAGTGTATGCAAATGTATGTGGGTTGTGTATTAGAGTGTTGGTGTAGTGTGTGTGTGAGTGAGTGTGTACAGTGGGGAAAAAAAGTATTTAGTCAGCCACCAATTGTGCAAGTTCTCACACTTAAAAAGATGAGAGAGGCCTGTAATTTTCATCATAGGTACACGTCAACTATGACAGACAAATTGAGAAAAAAATATCCAGAAAATCACATTATAGGATTTTTAATGAATTTATTTGCAAATTATGGTGGAAAATAAGTATTTGGTCACCTACAAACAAGCAAGATTTCTGGCTCTCACAGACCTGTAACTTCTTCCCTCCCGTTGTCCTAGGGTCAAAATGACCCGCCACTGTGTTGAACCAACTTTATTTAATTTTTATATTTTTGGGATCATTTGTGAGAAGGAAGCAGTGAGACTTTAAAGAAAGTATCACTGCCTCCTTCTCACAAAAGATCCCAAAAATATAAAAATTAAATAAAGTTGGTTCAACACAGTGGCGGGTCATTTTGACCCTAGGACAACGGGAGGGTTAAGAGGCTCCTCTGTCCTCCACTCGTTACCTGTATTAATGGCACCTGTTTGAACTTGTTATCAGTATAAAAGACACCTGTCCACAACCTCAAACAGTCACACTCCAAACTCCACTATGGCCAAGACCAAAGAGCTGTCACCAGAAACAGGACACCAGAAACAAAATTGTAGACCTGCACCAGGCTGGGAAGACTGAATCTGCAATAGGTAAGCAGCTTGGTTTGAAGAAATCAACTGTGGGAGCAATTATTAGGAAATGGAAGACATACAAGACCACTGATAATCTCCCTCGATCTGGGGCTCCACGCAAGATCTCACCCCGTGGGGTCAAAATGATCACAAGAACGGTGAGCAAAAATCCCAGAACCACACGGGGGGACCTAGTGAATGACCTGCAGAGAGCTGGGACCAAAGTAACAAAGCCTACCATCAGTAACACACTGCGCCGCCAGGGATTCAAATCCTGCAGTGCCAGACGTGTCCCCCTGCTTAAGCCAGTACATGTCCAGGCCCGTCTGAAGTTTGCTAGAGTGCATTTGGATGATCCAGAAGAGGATTGGGAGAATGTCAGATGAAACCAAAATATAACTTTTTGGTAAAAACTCAACTCGTCATGTTTGGAGGACAAAGAATGCTGAGTTGCATCCAAAGAACACCATACCTACTGTGAAGCATGGGGGTGGTGCAGACTCTCAGATCCACCTCCCGAGTGGCGCAGTGGTCTAAGGCACTGCATCGCAGTGCTAGCTTTGCCACTAGAGATCCTGGTTCGAATCCAGGCTCTGCTGTAGCTGGCTGCAACCGGGAGACCAATGGGGCGGCGCACAATTGGCCCAGCGTCGTCCAGGGTAGGGGAGGGAATGGCCGGCAGGGAGGTAGCTCAGTTGGTAGAGCATGGCGTTTGCAACGCCAGGGTTGTGGGTTCGATTCCCACGGGGGGCCAGTAAGAAAAAAATGAATTATGTATGCACTAACTGTAAGTCGCTCTGGATAAGAGCGTCTGCTAAATAATGTTAAATGTAAAATGGGTGGAAACATCATGCTTTCGGGCTGTTTTTCTGCAAAGGGACCAGGACCACTGATCCGTGTAAAGGAAAGAATGAATGGGGCCATGTATCGTGAGATTTTGAGTGAAAACCTCCTTCCATCAGCAAGGGCATTGAAGATGAAACGTGGCTGGGTCTTTCAGCATGACAATGATCCCAAACACACCGCCCGGGCAACGAAGGAGTGGCTTCGTAAGAAGCATTTGAAGGTCCTGGAGTGGCCTAGCCAGTCTCCAGATCTCAACCCCATAGAAAATCTTTGGAGGGAGTTGAAAGTCCGTGTTGCCCAGCGACAGCCCCAAAACATCACTGCTCTAGAGGAGATCTGCATGGAGGAATGGGCCAAAATACCAGCAACAGTGTGTGAAAACCTTGTGAAGACTTACCGAAAACGTTTGACCTGTGTCATTGCCAACAAAGGGTATATAACAAAGTATTGAGAAACTTTTGTTATTGACCAAATACTTATTTTCCACCATAATTTGCAAATAAATTCATTAAAAATCCTACAATGTGATTTTCTGGATTTTTTTTCCTAATTTTGTCTGTCATAGTTGACGTGTAACTATGATGAAAATTACAGGCCTCTCATCTTTTTAAGTGGGAGAACTTGCACAATTGGTGGCTGACTAAATAATTTTCTTCCCCACTGTATGTAAACTTCTGACTTCAACTGGGAGGGAATAGGACCACCCACTTGGGACCCAGGCCCAGCCAATCAGAATGAGTTTTTCCTCACAAAGGGTTTTTTTACAGTCAGAAATACTCCTCAGTTTCATCAGCTGTCCAGGAGGCTGGTCTCAGACGATCCCGCAGGTGAAGAAGCCGGATGTGGAGGTCCTGGGCTGGCGTGGTTACACTTGGTCTGCGGTTGTGAGGCCGGTTGGACGCACTGCCAGATTCTCTAAAGCGACATTGGAGGAAGCTTATGGTAGAGAAATTAACATTACATTCTCTGGCAACAGCTCTGGTGGAGATTCCTGCAGGCAGCATGCCTACTGCACGCTCCCTCAAAACTTGAGACATCTGTGGCATTGTGTTGTGTGACAAAACTGCACATTTTAGAGTGGCCTTTTATTGTCCCCAGCACAAGGTGCACCTGTGTAATGAGCATGCTGTTTAATTAGCTTCTTGATATGCCACACCTGTCAGGTGAATGGATTATCTTGGCAAAGGAGATATGCTCACTAACAGGGATGTAAACAAACAAATTTGTGCTCAAGATTTGAGAGAAATAAGCTTTTCGTGCGTATGGAACATTTCTGGGATCTTTTATTTCAGCTCATGAAACATTGGATCAACATTTTACGTGTTTTGTTTATATTTTTGTTAATTTAAGTATTGCGAGTGTGCATAGAGTCAGTGCAAGATAGAGTCAGTGCAGATGGTAACCATTGAATTAACTATTTAGCGTTCTTATGGCTATTATGTCACGTCTATTTGTCTATTATTTACATTTACATTTTAGTCATTTAGCAGACGCTCTTATCCAGAGCGACTTACAGGAGCAATTAGGGTTAAGTGCCTTGCTCAAGGGCACATTAACGTCATTTAGCAGACGCTCTTAGCCAGAGCGACTCACAAATTGGTGCGTTCACCCTATAGCCAGTGGGATAACCACTTTACAATGGGGGGGGGGGTAGAAGGATTCCTTTATCCTATCCCAGGTATTCCTTAAAGAGGTGGGGTTTCAAATGTCTCCGGAAGGTGGTGAGTGACTCCGCTGTCCTGGCGTCGTGAGGGAGCTTGTTCCACCATTGGGGTGCCAGAGCAGCGAACAGTTTTGACTGGGCTGAGCGGGAACTATGCTTCCGCAGAGGAAGGGGAGCCAGCAGGCCAGAGGTGGATGAGCGCAATGCCCTCGTTTGGGTGTAGGGACTGATCAGAGCCTGAAGGTACAGAGGTGCCGTTCCCCTCACTGCTCCATAGGCAAGCACCATGGTCTTGTAGCGGATGCGAGCTTCAACTGGAAGCCAGTGGAGTGTGCGGAGGAGGGGGGTGACGTGAGAGAACTTGGGAAGGTTGAACACCAGACGGGCTGCGGCATTCTGGATGAGTTGTAGGGGTTTAATTATTATATTATTATTATTATTATTATTATAACCGCGATCGATAAAAGACAGTACTGTGCAGCCGTCTTCATCGACCTGGCCAAGGCTTTCGACTCTGTCAATCACCGCATTCTTATTGGCAGACTAAATAGCCTTGGTTTCTCAAATGACTGCCTCGCGTGGTTCATCAACTACTTCTTAGATAGAGTTCAATGTGTCAAATCGGAGGGCCTGTTGTCTGGACCTCTGGCAGTCTCTATGGGGGTGCCACAGGGTTAAATTCTCGGGCCGACTCTATTCTCTGCATATATCAATGATGTCGCTCTTGCTGCTGGTGACTCTCAGATCCACCTCTACGCAGACGACACCATTTTGTATACATCTGGCCCTTCATTGGACACTGTGTTAACAAACCTCCAAACGATTTTCAATGCCATACAAAACTCCTTCCGTAGCCTCCAACTGCTCTTAAACACTAGTAAAACTAAATGCATGCTCTTCAATCGAACGCTGCTTGCACCTGCCCGCCCGACTAGAATCACTACTCTCGGCGGGTCTGACTTAGAATATTAATCGGCTTATTTCGCAACAAAGCCTCCTTCACTCATGCTGCCAAACATGCCCTCGTAAAACTGACTATCCTACCAATCCTTGACATCGGCGATGTCATTTACAAAATATTCTCCAACACTCTACTCAGCAAATTGGATGTAGTCTATCACAGTGCCATCCGTTTTGTCACCAAAGCCCCATATATTACCCACCATTGTGACCTGTATGCTCTCGTTGGCTGGCCCTCACAACACCCACCCGTAGTCTGCGCTCCAGCAGGTATATCTCACTGGTCATCACCAAAGCCAGCACCTCCTTTGGCCGCCATTCCTTCCAGTTCTCTGCTGCCAATGACTGGAACGAACTGCAAAAATCTCTGAAGCTGGAGACTCTTATCTCCCTCACTAACTTTAAGCATCAGTTGTCAGAGCAGCTTAACGATCACTGCACCTGTACACAGCCCATCTGTAATTAGCCCACCCAACTACCTCATCCCCATATTGTTATTTATTTTGCTCATTTGCACTCCAGTATCTCTATTTGCACATCATCTTCTGCACATCTATCACTCCAGTGTTAATACTAAATTGTAATTATTTTGCACTCTGGCCTATTTATTGCCTTACCTCTATAACTTACTACATTTGCACACACTGTATATATATTTTCTATTTTTCTATTGTGTTATTGACTGTACGTTTTTGTTTGTCCCATATGTAACTCTGTGTTGTTGTTGTTTTTATCGCACTGCTTTGCTTTGTCTTGGCCAGGTCGCAGTTGTAAATGAGAACTTGTTCTCAACTGGCCTACCTGGTTAAATAAAGGTTAAATAAAAAAAATAAAAAAAATACTGATATGGCTAAAATTCGCTAGCTAGCTAACCAACAATTTTAACAATGTATTTGAGAGACAGCAAGTGCTCATTGTGCAAATGTATTTAAGTTTTTTGTAAACATTTGGAGAGGAAATATAGCTTACATGTTGTCAACAATCCTTTGATTTCGAGCCAACCACGTCTGTTTTGCCCCAAGGGTTGTGACACACATCGGTTTTGTTGCTAAACAACCCATCTGTCTATTGCTACATTAATGACTGCAATGGCTTCATCTTCTTCCTCTATTCCATGAATTGGATTTTGGTCAGAATTGGTGGATGTTGTCATGGTAGCTAGGTGAAATCCCACTGGTGGCTTCATTTTGACCTTTCCCGATCACTAGGGAAAAGACGTAAGAGGAAACAACTCATGTTTATTGGGACATAGACCTACAGTATACGTGGAAGGGGCGGGAGGGCTATTTATGCAATAAGGCACGAGGGGTTGTGGTATATGGTCAAAATACCACGGCTAAGGGCTGTTCTTATGCACGACGCAATGCGGAGTGCCTGGAGACAGCCCTTAGCCGTGGTACATTGGCCATATACCACAAACCCCCGTGGTGCCTTATTGCTTTTATAAACTGGTTACCAAATTAAACTGTTGTCTCTAAGAAATGTTTAGTCTGCTGTTAAAATTAAACTTTCTCACATCACATATCTACACCTCCACAGTAACTGCTCATCAGATAAAACGGCTTCTCGGGCCTAAACCTCACTGTCTTGTTATCAACTTAAGTATTACTTGACTAGGTATCCCACTTTCCCTTTCCTTACTGTAAAGACTTATCTCATGACTTAAAAAGGGTATTTTAGGTATTGACAGGTTATTCATTCCATCTCTATGGGATATGGCCCACTATCTGATAAACAAATTCCAACCTATTGCAGAATTCTAACCTATTGTAGGACAGTGTTGTTTAAACATGTAGCATGCCACTCTCTTTCTCCCCCTGTCTCTTAGTTTACTTTCAGCAGAATATTATCTTTGAGATTTTATTCTCTACCAATTCCACTCTATCTTTCCGTTTCAGTATCTGCCATTGTTTCGTCATCTCTACACAGACGCTGGAATGCATTTACTGACAAAAGCCAGTCACCTCTGTCATTCTTTGTTGTTTCATAACTGTCTTTCTGATTGTATTTTAGAAGGGCTTTGTGAGTGAGTTGTAAAGATTATATGTGCATTAAAATAACAACACCCACTCTTCTTTTTGTATTGCCCATCAGGAGTCCCTCGAGAGACGGACAAAGAGAAGGAGTTTGGTGACTTTGATGTCTTCGATGACCCCGAGAGTCCATACTCCACGTTCAACTTTCAGTACTCCAACCAGGCCTTCACCCGCCTCCACGACCTCATGGAGTTCAACACGCTCAACAACATCGAGGTACGGGTCTCACACACACACAAACAAGCAAATGCACATACACACACATATGCATGCAGGCATGCACGCACACACACATAGTGATGGGCATTTTACATTTTTGGGCTGTTCGAGTACTTGCATGATTTTATTTAGAGTACTCGTGTCCTCAAATAATAAAAATAAAAATAAAAAATGGAACACAAGCCTGCACTGGAATGAAATATGTGCCTATTTATCTATAGGTCTAACTTGTATGATGCTTGGCTTGGTTTATTTTTTGTTGTGCCCCGCAAATGCACATGTACAAATTGAACACTAGAGTGAAAAAATCTGGGACAAAATGTCACTTTCCCATTTCCCCATCAAGTAATCTCTATGTATGTGTCTCACCACAGGCTGGTGTTGTTGACAGTGTGTAACTGCTGCTGTGATGGAGGGCCAGAATGTGATATACATGTGTTTATTATTAGCCTGTAGTATGTGGTGTATGATCTCTATTTTCAGTACTGTATTTTCTCTGTTCTGTTTCCTCTGTCATCTTCTTATGTTGGTCTCTCTCTCTCCCTCTCTCTCCCCTTCACTCCCATCTCTTTCCCTCTCTCCCATCTCTCTCCCTCTCTCTCCCCTTCACTCCCATCTCTTTCCCTCTCTCCCCTCTCGCCCCCTCTCTCTCCCCCTCACTCCCATCTCTTTCCCTTTCTCTCTCTGCTGTAGGTGATCAAGGATGCGATAATGGACAGCATCACCCAGAGACAGGAGAACCCCTCACGCTGCTCTGTCTCCATCTCACTCAACGAGATTGAAAACAAGAAGTTCTTGAAACGGGACGTCAGCTCAGCTAAGCTTCCTATATAACTCCACCAGAGACACCTTTCTATATCCATGACAAGATCTGGAGGTTAAGTTTTTTGATAGAACAAAACATTACAGCTCAAAGAACAGATAAGAATGGTAACCAACCTATCCTTGTAGCTGCAAGGCATGTCGCTGTTTGAATGGGATATGAGCCTCACTTCAAGCTAACCTGGTCTCAGATCTGTTTGTGATATCTTGCCAACTCACAACAATGGCCATGGGAGTTAGAAAGACAGCACAAACTGATCTGAGACCAGGCTGACTTAAAGCAACTATGCTGCCTCTTCTTTTGAGCTCGTATGACTGTGTTGTTTGGGAGACAGGATGCAGCACACCTTGTTCTGTACATTCCTGGCCTGGCATCTGGGTGGTGTGGTTGATCTTTAAATGGCTCGCTCACTCTCACGCACACACACACACTCACACACACTCAAACACATACACACACTCAAACATACACACATGGGCACACACACACCATCCCTTCATGCAGCAGGCAGAGGAGAGAGGAGAGATCATGCCTGTGAATACATATTTATGTGAAGGCCTGCCTAGTGATGTAAAGTATTCCTGGCAGGGGTCAGTCAAGGCGTGGCATTGGCAAGGGTTGAACATTTACTTCTAAAACGGCTTTTACTGACTCACGTATTTGCTGCAGATCCAAACTTGAAATATCTGTAGTTTAAATAGAAGGACTCCTTACAAATGATATTTTCTTTATACCATTCTAACTATCTTTACCGGTCTCTCGTTCCCTATTGATCTATTTATTTGTATTTTGTTCCATACATACAGGGGGAAGGGTGTTTGGTCTTTTGCTTTATCGTGGCAACATTGCTGAGGTTTAGGGCAACCCAGATGGGGTAATAGCATGTTTTCTTTGTCACACTGTGCCTGTACTCTCCTTTTATGCCACTGCAGGGTCTGAAAAAGGAGCACTCTCCCCGTCTGGGAATTGAACCCCAGTCTCCTGGCCCCCACGTGACAGGAGGGGATACTTACCACTATACTAACTAGGAGCTCAGGGTTGCCGGTCCACAGCACCACCTCTAAAAACTCTCCTTCTGTGAGGCAATTGGTGAAATTCTATTGGCCCCCACACTCTCCCTAAGCAAGCGCGCTATTCACAGCATTTACACAATGGAGACCTCGCTCTCAGTTCCTCCCTCCGTCCTCCTCCTCCCGCCCTCCTCTTCTCCCTCCCCTACACTGTAGAAGAGAAGTGGGGGAAGGGATGATGGAATGTTGGCACTCTCCTCCCCTCCTTTCCCCCTGTTTTACCCAGTGGGAGAGAAGCAGGGGATGGCTGGGGAGGAGTGTAAGCTCACTCATCCAGGGGAAGTCCTGGCTGAATGGCGTGATGTGAGGGTGAAGAGACGTGTGGGGAGTTGAGCAAACCTAGAATTTCTCTGAGGCTGGCAGGCTGCAGGTTGAAATGGGCATGCAATACACAGGAAGCTCATTACACACACATTCCATGTTGGGATGGCTCTATTCCATAGATGGTGTCTCACAAAGAACCTCTTCCTTTGGGTTGCTTTTAGCTACTCTGCCACTAGCTGTGTCATGCAACTGAGTGAACCCATACCTGTAGAATGGTTAACCCCTTATTTACAGTTCATTCAGAAAGTATTAAGACCCCTTGACTCTTTCCACATTTTGTTACGTTACAGCCTTATTCTATAATGGATTAAATAAAACAAATTCCTCATGAATCTAAACAAAATACCTCATAATGACAAAGCGAAAACAGGTTTTTAGAAATGTTTGCTAAAAAATATATATACAGTGGGGAGAACAAGTATTTGATACACTGCCGATTTTGCAGGTTTTCCTACTTACAAAGCATGTAGAGGTCTGTAATTTTTATCATAGGTACACTTCAACTGTGAGAGACAAAATCTAAAACAAAAATCCAGAAAATCACATTGTATGATTTGTAAGTAATTAATTTGCATTTTATTGCATGACATAAGTATTTGATACATCAGAAAAGCAGAACTTAATATTTCGTACAGAAACCTTTGTTTTCAATTACAGAGATCATACGTTTCCTGTAGGTCTTGACCAGGTTTGCATACACTGCAGCAGGGATTTTGGCCCACTCCTCCATACAGACCTTCTCCAGATCCTTCAGGTTTCGGGGCTGTCGCTGGGCAATACGGACTTTCAGCTCCCTCCAAAGATTTTCCATTGGGTTCAGGTCTGGAGACTGGCTAGGCCACTCCGGACCTTGAGATGCTTCTTACGGAGCCACTCCTTAGTTGCCCTGGCTGTGTGTTTCGGGTCGTTGTCATGCTGGAAGACCCAGCCACGACCCATCTTCAATGCTCTTACTGAGGGAAGGAGGTTGTTGGCCAAGATCTCGCGATACATGGCCCCATCCATCCTCCCCTCAATACGGTGCAGTCGTCCTGTCCCCTTTGCAGAAAAGCATCCCCAAAGAATGATGTTTCCACCTCCATGCTTCACGGTTGGGATGGTGTTCTTGGGGTTGTACTCATCCTTCTTCTTCCTCCAAACACGGCGAGTGGAGTTTAGACCAAAAAGCTATATTTTTGTCTCATCAGACCACATGACCTTCTCCCATTCCTCCTCTGGATCATCCAGATGGTCATTGGCAAACTTCAGACGGGCCTGGACATGTTTTGGCTTGAGCAGGGGGACCTTGCGTGCGCTGCAGGATTTTAATCCATGACCGCATAGTGTGTTACTAATGGTTTTCTTTGAGACTGTGGTCCCAGCTCTCTTCAGGTCATTGACCAGGTCCTGCCGTGTAGTTCTGGGCTGATCCCTCACCTTCCTCATGATCATTGATGCCCCACGAGGTGAGATCTTGCATGGAGCCCCAGACCGAGGGTGATTGACCGTCATCTTGAACTTCTTCCATTTTCTAATAATTGCGCCAACAGTTGTTGCCGTCTCACCAAGCTGCTTGCCTATTGTCCTGTAGCCCATCCCAGCCTTGTGCAGGTCTACAATTTTATCCCTGATGTCCTTACACAGCTCTCTGGTCTTGGCCATTGTGGAGAGGTTGGAGTGTGTTTGATTGAGTGTGTGGACAGGTGTCTTTTATACAGGTAACAAGTTCAAACAGGTGCAGTTAATACAGGTAATGAGTGGAGAACAGGAGGGCTTCTTAAAGAAAAACTAACAGGTCTGTGAGAGCCGGAATTCTTACTGGTTGGTAGGGGATCAAATACTTACAGTGGGGGAAGAAAGTATTTAGTCAGCCACCAATTGTGCAAGTTCTCCCACTTAAAAAGATGAGAGAGGCCTGTAATTTTCATCATAGGTACACATCAACTATGACAAACAAACTGAGAAAAAAGAATCCAGAAAATCACATTGTAGGATTTTTAATGAATTTATTTGCAAATTATGTAGGAAAACCTGCAAAATCGGCAGTGTATCAAATACTTGTTCTCTCCACTGTATATAAAACAGAAATACCTTATTTACATAAGTATTCAGACCCTTTGCTATGAGACTCTAAATTGAGCTCCGGTGCATCCTGTTTCCATTCATCATCCTTGACATGTTTCTACAACTTGATTGGAGTCCACCTGTGGTAAATTCAATTGATTGGACATGATTTGGAAAGGCACACACCTGTCTATATAAGTTGACAGTGCATGTCAGAGCAAAAACCAAGCCATGAAGTTGAAGGAATTGTCCATAGAGCTCTGAGATAGGATTGTGTCGAGGCACAGATCTGGAGAAGGGTACCATTGAAGGTCCACAAGAACACAGTGGCCTCCATCATACTTAAATGGAATAAGTTTGGAACCACCAAGACTCTTCCTAGAGCTGGCCGCCCAGCCAAACTGAGCAATCGGGGGAGAAGGGCCTTGGTCAGGGAGGTGACCAAGAACCCGATGGTCACTCTGACAGAGCTCTAGAGTTCCTCTGTGGAGATGGGAGAACCTTCCAGAAGGACAACCATCTCTGCAGCACTCCACCAATCAGGCCTTTATGGAAGAGTGGCCAGACGGAAGCCACTCCTCATTAAAAGGCACATGACAACCCGCTTGGAGTTTGCTAAAAGGCACCTAAAGGACTCTCAGACCATGAGAAACAAGATTCTTTGGTCTGATGAAACCAAGATTGAACTCTTTGGCCTGAATGCCAAGCGTCACGTCTGGAGGAAACCTAGCACCATCCCTATGGTGAAGCATGGGGGTGGCAGCATCATGCTGTGGGGGATGTTTTTCAGTGGCAAGGACTGGGAGACTAGTCAAGATCGATGGAAAGATGAACAGAGCAAAGTACAGAGAGATCCTTGATGAAAACCCGCTCCAGAGCGCTCAGGACCTTAGACTGGGGTGAAAGTTTACCTTCCAACTGGACAATGACCCTAAGCACACAGCCAAGACAACGCAGGAGTGGCTTCTGGAAAGTCTCTGAATGTCCTTGAGTGGCCCAGCCAGAGCCCGGACCTGATCGAACATCTCTGGAGAGACCTGAAAATAGCTGTGCAGCGACGCTCCCCATCCAACCTGAGCTTGAGAGGATCTGCTGAGAAGAATGGGAGAAACACCCCAAATACAGGTGTGCCAAGCTTGTAGCGTCATACCCAAGAAGACTCGAGGCTGTAATCGCTGACAAAGGTGCTTCAACAAAGTACTGAGTAAAGGGTCTGAATACTTATGTAAATGTGATATTTCAGTTTTATATTTTTAATACATTTGCAAAAATTTCTACATCTGTGTTTGCTCTGCCATTATGGGGTATTGTGTGTAGATTTGATGAGGGAAAAAAACTATTTAATTAATTTTAGAATAAGGCTGTAACGTAACAAAATGTGGAAGAAGTCAAGGGATCTGAATATTGTATATATGAGACTCAATTTGCTATGAGACTCAATTTCGAGTCTCATAGCAAACGGTCTGAATACTTATGTAAATAAGGTATTTTATTTATTTTTTATACATTTGCAAACATTTATAAAAACCTGTTTTCGCTTTGTCATTATGGGGTATTTTGTGTAGATTGAGGGA